CTGCCCCCGCGTTCGGGCTCACCTGGAGAGGGCCTCACCTCGGCCGGTTCAGGGAGCTGGGCCGGCGGAGAGCTGCTCTTGGGAGAAGTTGTCCTCCGGGTGCATCGTGTGCGTCTGTGTGTCCCCCGCCACCGAGGCCTTCGGGCCCCTCCGGCCACCACGGCACGCAGGGGGAGGGCCTGCAGCTTCCCAGCCCAGGTCTGGGCTGCGTCCAACTCTGCTGTAGGTTTCTGAGGCACCAAGCCACTGCGGCGCACCAGGTGGCAGAGCCTATGGGCTCTGTAAGCTGCAGAGGGTGAGCTGCAGGGGTGGCAGCAGGTGACAAAGAGGATGGGAACCACTGAACTGAACAGATTTAAGGTTTTCACCTGGTACAGCAGCATCATGACTTGTCCTACTGCTGTTATTAGTGGATGGTGGTGAGCTATCGGCTGCTCAGTCACCAGGAGGGGCACCCAAAGTGTGCCCGCTTTGAGGAAAAGATGCTCTATTGCACTTGTCGCTTGCAAAAATACAGAGCTGTGACCTATGGAAGGCGATGTACCCTGTACAAATACTTCCAGTGCTGGCCTCCCACGGAAGGGAGCACTTCGGAAAGACATTTGTTAATGTGAACACGTCCCAGACTGACGATTCAAATGACAGCAGGGACACAAAGAGCTTTGAAACTGCTTGGCACAATTGCCCCTACTGCTGGCAGACCAGTGGCAACCTGTGGAAGCGGTCATTTGGAAGCCAGTCAGCACAGCTGTATGCAAAACCACTGCACTGCCATGTGTACAGCAGGATTGCCAAGCTTCTGCGCGTTTTGCTCCTCTGTGTTGTGTGTGTGTGGGTAGTGGTTAGGTGTTCAAATGAATTTTCTGCCTTCATCAAGACAGCACCATCACTAGGAGAATGCTTTGATTTCCCAGAAGAATGTGTCTGCCTGTTGTGTTATGTGTCATCTCTCCCAGCCGCTGCTGGCTTCTGAGCAATTACCAGGCTGCCAAACCTAACTTATTGACGCAGATCAAAAAAAAAAAAAAAAATTGCACTCTTTGAACTGAAAACTCCTCCGTGACCAGGAAGAAGGACAGGCTGATGGCTGATGACAACAACCTTTCTTGTTGGCTGAGAGCGTGGTTAGTGGTTGCAGCATGCAGCCCCATGAACCTCTTGACTACAGACATCAAAACATGGACTGAAGCCACCCACAATGCTGGAGTACAAGGGCAAGAGAGTGTTGTTAAGACTCACTTTGAAGTCCTGGGTCTAAGAGGTGATTTATTTGTGAAAGGTAGGTGAATGAGAAATGCAGTCCTTCAGGTAGGAGCTCTCTGAAGAGACTGACATCCTGACCCTGGACGCTGATAGGAGTTTTACATCAGTGAAGCACTAGAACTGATGAACCAAGCCCTGATCTCTGCACGTGAGGAGCTTGCTGAGGCTCAGTGGTACAACGGCACTTGACTGTGGCTGAGGATGATACAGAGAAGACAGAGCCAATCTCTTCCCAAGGTTTTTGCACAGCAAGAGGCAAGGGTCACAATTTGCAGCATGGAAATTCCAGTTAGATAAAAGGAGAAAAAAAATATTAAGGGTGGGTAAGCACTGTTGCAGCAGCCCAGAGAGGTGGTGGAATATCCATCCCTAGAGATAGTGAAAATGTAACCAAACAGATTCTGCAATGCCTTGATCCTGAGAGAGACCCTGCAACATTTGGAAACGTTTTCCTGTGTAATTCTCTTCCAAATTATTGGATCAAAACAACTGCCCATAAGCGTTTTCTTCTTAAATCCTTTGAAATGCATTTTTAAAAAAAATCTGTCCCCCTGTCCTCCTCAGAGCATATAACTTCACTATTGACACCTGGGGGTTAACATCTTTGTGATACAGTTACATTGCAGCTGCTGCTGAAGTCCAGCCCCTGGCTAGCTGGGCACTGCCGAACACAGAGGAAACCCTGCATAACCCTCCCCAAAACTGAGTTAATACAGACAAGAGCTGAGTAAGCAAATGTCACACAGCAGATCATCAGGAGAGGCAGAAGTCAGGCCTGCTGTCTGTGCCATGTCACGGCCTAACTGTGGCGGATTAAGGCACAGACTCTGATATGCAGGATCAAAATCAATTTTATTCAGCAAACAAGCTCCTTATATACTCTTATCAGCAGGGCCAGTATTTTTCTACTCAACTTGTTTACTCCAAAGTGTCTTCTTAGAAGGTCACGTGATAGCTACTCACTTACTCCTCTGGCTGCAGCTGTGTTGCTGTTTACTCTTCCCACAGCTTTCGGATCATTAACTCTACAGTACTGGATCCGTCTTCTTTCTCCAATGTCTCTGCTCCCACATCTCCCCCTTTTTGGTTTTGTTGGACTAGTAAGACTTTTTATGGATTTTTCTATCATCCTTTGTACACATTGCAAGAGACATGGGACACATATTAAGATACACACAAAGATTATCATACATTCTATTACCAACTTCAACAATTGTTTCGCTTACCTTCCAAGGCCCCATCTGCTAAGTAAATTATTAAACCAATTTCACTCATCATTTTGTTGGAGCTTATGAACTCCTTCTCGCAGAGTTTGAATACTCTTGTGGATGGATTCAGAGTGGTCTGAAAGATTCGTACAACACAGTTCTTCAAAGTCCTCACAGCTGTGACCTTGCGTTAATAACAAAAAGTCTATTGCTGCATGATTTTGTAAGGTAGCATGTCTGATTGAATCTACATCCATTATAACACTAGAGAAACCTACAGACGTCGCATTACTTTGCTTAGCAAGCCAACAACATAATTTGTTCAAGGTTGTTAAATCCTGCGCTGTCGTGACTTCTGGTGCAAATATAGAAGCCAAAATGTTTTCTCCATTGTTCCAAAAGTCAACGTTGTTCTTACACTGTGATTGGAAGGCATGAGTAGCACACCTAAGGCGCCAGTGATGCCTTGTTAAGTTAAAAACCATGGTTATGTTTGGAGTTAATACCGTTAGTCTGCCCAAGCTACATAGTCCCCCTTTTATGTGTGAGGGAATGCCTCCCCATGCTCGATGCCTACAGATAAAAAAGAGCCCTTTTGGGAGTTCTAGTGGGGTGTTAGCTGACTTGGAACTGTTGGGGCTAGTATAGTTGCACCAGGTGGTCTCATTTCTATAAATCAGCAGAGATAACATTTACTATAAAAGACTGATTTGCGCCAGTATAATTGAAAAACAGACAAGCGTCCATTTGTATTGATCCTAACAGCTCAAGCTCTTGAGGTTCATGGGTCAATAACTATCCCAGTTATCGACTTTCTCCTTTGCTGTATTGTGGCCGGTCAGGAATGATTCTGGCATGTTCGGCCACGTGTCCGCTGGGATACCCACCAAACATGTGGTAAAGGGGTTTCCCACAGTTTCCAGCGAGAGGCACAGGGTATCTTGACCTAGATTGCTAGAGTTACCCGTATATTCTGTTTTGGCATTGGTGGAATCCATACTCAACCTCCAGTTCTTGCCTCCATTAGGATGGTGCTGCTGACGACTGCAATGATGGTCGGACCCGTCTTGCTGGCACCCACCTTGGTCCCGCACCTGTGGAAACACAAGCATACCCTCACCCCCAAGTTATCAATGGATATGGACTTTCCCACTGACTATTCTTCATATTTTTGATCAGGACCCGTGCCTTTTCCTTCTGGGAAACAGGTTGTGACCCATCAGAAAGAGAATTGAAGTGTCTCACCATGGGTGATTCTTCATCTCTCCAGCGGTTTAAAAAGTTTAATACATATACTGCCTTTGCCAGGCACTCTGGCAGGGACCCCAAAGCCATTCCCCCTTTTTGTTTTAGCAACATGGCTTTTAATGTGCCATGGGAGCACTCTACAATAGCTTGTCCTGTTGGTGAATGAGGGATACCAGTAACATGGCAGATACCCCATGACCCGAAAAATTGTGCAGTTTTTTGAGCAGTATATCCAGGGCCATTATCTGTTTTAATTTGACGTGGCACACCCAATGCCGCAAACGTGGCCGTGAGGTGCCGTATTACATCTTTAGCCTCTTTGCCCATGTGACAAGAAGCGAAAATACATGCTGAATAGGTGTCGACTGACACATGCACATACTTCAACCTGCCAAATTCTGCTATATGAGTGATGTCTGTTTGCCAGAGTTCTAGAGCCACCAAACCTCGAGGGTTGATGCCCATGGGAGTGGCTGGTGCCACCTGCTGACAGTCAGGACAGGTAGCAATGATGTTTTGAGCCTGCTCCTTTGAAAGAGAAAACTGACCGGCCAACGCTTTGGCATTTTGGTGGAAAAAGTCGTGCGACAGACCATGTCTGCTACCATGTCTGCCTGGGCATTGCCTTCCGTGATGGATCCCGGGAGCATAGTGTGAGAGTGGATGTGCATGATAAAATAATTGCCCTGTTGCCAATTTAATAAAAACCACAGCTCCTTCAGTAGTGTGAACAATTGTGGGTTAGAGACTTCCTTTAAGAAAGCACCTTCCATTCTGCTGACTACACCTGCCACATAAGCAGAGACTGTAACTCTGTTAAGGTTCATGGCCCATCGTTGAAAGGCTCGCACCACTGCTCCTCATTCTACAATTTGAGGGGACCCCCTAACCACCTGGACGTCTTGTTGCCAGGCGCCTTTTTCTGTCCACCAGACGATGACAGACCATCCAGCGTGGCCACAGCCATCTGTAAAGACTGTTAATGCCTGCAAGGGGGTGGGACTGAGTTTAGTACCGCTAAACACGGGTAGGCTTGGTAGAGATTGCAAAAGCGGTTGCTTTGGCAGATGTATTTTAAAATGTCCTGCAAAATTTACAATAGCGATTTGAAATGAAAAGGAATATTTTAAAAGCCAATCTAGCCGCTTGAGATCCATGGGCAGATAAATTTCTGTGGGATTCTGCCCATCCAAATGCATTAATCTCTCTCGTCCCTTTTGGATGAGCATGCTAATCATCTCTGCTTGCGTGGTAACTGTCTTAGCAAATTGATGTGATAAAAACAGCCATTCAATAATTAGTAAGGGGTCTTGTCGACCTGGGCCCCATTGGGCTAATAATGCAAACGGTTGAAACTGGGAGTTAAAAACAAACAAACTAAAAGGAA